CAGCGATAAAAAAGAAGTGTCTGCACAAAATGAGTACTAACGAGAGTCAAACGAGACAATAAAAAAGCAGAAACGGTGGAAAATAAGCATAGCAAAAAAAAACTTAACTGGAAAAGTCAACTTCACTACGAAATGACGTAGGAAAAAGAAAGACGAAAGCAGAGACGGTGGAAAATAAGCATGGACAGTTCAAAAAAAAGGAAAATAAGCATGGGCCAATGTTTCATGCACCCATAGTCAACTTAGAACTAGAAAGAGAAATATATACTTCCATCACGAGTCGTGCATAACACCAGCACTTTTCGGCAACATATCTTGCCGAATTAATAAGTCTGTCGCCATTCTCGTCGCAGAAAACCAGACTGCACTTTCACAACGCTATCTCCTGTGATTCAACCCATGATATACATATCTCCTGCATGAAAAGGACCGCCCGAAAATAGTCAGCTTCACGCGTGTTCCTACGTAAGGTTCTATTACACGTGTGTGGAGACGGATCGACGACGTTGATCCACGTACATCTAGTCATTAACTTCTCATGCAAACACATATCAAGATTTACTTGCATCATGCATTATTAATAGTGTCAAAAAACGTCTTACATTATGAGATAGAGGGAGTTGCATAAAAAACGCTTCTCTCTATGCGTAGTGTTTGTGTTGTGTAACTTTTATAATAGATCTAATTTTTTCACAAAATAGATAAATAATCCCCGGGCCCTCACAAAACCAAATAATCGTAACAGGACAAAGTCACGCTACCTTTTGTAATTCATCCCATATGTCTATCCTAGATATATCTTCTGCATGAAAAACTGAAATTCAGCATGGCACTCCCCAAACCGGATATCATGCACTCCCTCTTTTCGGACAGAGATGACGTTCTGGTATGATATGGTCTCTAGTGTGTAACTTTGACCAATATTTTCCATACGAATATGCGAGTAAAAGGATATAAAACTTTTATACTGAGAGAGAAAAAAAGCATGGCAAATCTTTTTAGTTCCACTTGACCAGACTAAATAAATTTTATATGATACTCCCTCCGTTCCTAAATATTTGTCTTTCAAGAGATTTCAACAAGTGACTACATACGGAGCAAAATGAGTGAATCTACACTCTAAAATATGTTCATATACATCCGTATGTGGTAGTCCATTTGAAATCTCTAAAAAGGCAAATATTTAGGAATGGAGGGAAGTACAAGTCAAGAGCTCCTTTGATTCAACGGATTCTCATAGGAATTTTGGAGAATTAGAATTCTTAGGACTTTTTCCTACTTTGGTTGTTTGATTCATAGGATTGAATCCTATAGAACTTTCTCATAAGGATTCCCTACTACATTACATAGAAATTTTAGCATCCACTCAAACCTCTGAAAGAATCCTTTGTTTTTCCTGTGATGCAAGCAAACAAAGCATAATCATGTAAATTAAGATGAGCGCGACATACCAATCCTATGTTTACTATTCCTACTTTTTTTAGAATCATGCTAATCAAACGGGGCCTAAAGTTTCAGAAGTTATTTTCCTTGGGAACAATTCGTAAAGTTTGATTGCACACGCTCTAAGGTGCCATCTTATGAGGGAGGTTCTACCAACCATGTGTTGTAGAATGATATGTATAGCCTATTTTTTGCAGTTCCATCATATGCAGAGCATAGCCTACATGATATGTGCACAGATGTTTCTATGTGAAGTATCATCAGTTTGCGACTCCATGTTTGTGCTCACAGTTTGACCATATCAATGTGACCCATCATATGTAGAGCATAGCCTACATGATATGTGCACAGATGTTTCTGTGTGAAGTATCATCAGTTTGCGACTCCATGTTTGCGCTCACAGTTTGACCATATCAATGTGACCCATCATATGTAGAGCATAGCCTACTGACATGTTCAAGATTTTCTTCCACCAAACAGTCCTCCATTTGCACTCGCAGTTTCACCATATCAATGATCTGGTCCAACCCGTTTATCCTGGATTCATAGAGTTGTGTGCATTAACCGATGCCGAGGCTGGGGCGCAGAAGCCGGTGGCGTTTCCTCCTTCTCGAAAAGAAATATCCGGGATTCATGATAACGCTTGAGCTAGTCAACTTTCTTCTTATCATAAAAACTTTCCACTTCTCTCTCGTATATCCCATACTCTTGTGCTCAATTTAGCATTACCATGTAATGTTGAAGAACCTTGTGATGAACCCCGTCACACGGTGTTGTACAAAAATATGAAGTAATTCATAATTGAAAAGAATTGATCATGCACGGTCAAGCGTGACAGTCGAGTAAAATGGATCATTACGGTGTTGTCTCGAAGGAAAGTTTACACCGAAATTCCGTCAACTTATTTCTTAAAAAAGAATCTAGCACTCCTCTCATGTGCATCTATTGCTTTGCTTATCATCGTGGCGCATATTGTTTATTCGATAACAGAAATATCGTCACCCACGCTGGAATAACCAAAGTGTTTTTTTAATTGTTTCATAATGCTTTCATTGAAGAGGACTTTTCAGCCCAAACGTTGAATGTAAAGTTGTACAATTCAAAAATATCCCCACGAGACATTCATCTCATTCCCTTAAAGGAAAAACTATGATAGACTAGCCGATCTTTAAATAGGAATATTTGCCATCTTGGAATATTTGCCATGAAAGATGATTTTTTGCACAAATTCTTTGATAATGATTTTTGAATTTGATATGAGATTTTGGGTGGCAAGTATCTGCACCGAAATTCGGGCAGGAAATGATTCAAACCGCGGGCGGGCGGCCGGCGAGGCGATGAGGTATGGGTGTAGCTCTACCGGCCCGCGCGGTCAACACCGCGCTTGCCTGCAACAAGACATGCATGTCAGGGGGCCGGCGACGTGGCCAGCACCAGCGGCAGTACTGATCTCATCTTCGTCTGACCGCCCGACCCGATCGCCATCAGGGGACGACGACCCCAGGGCCGGAGCTCCGGTGGGCCCCACCCCACCACCACCCTCGCCCGCGTGTGGGCCCCGCGCCCCCCTCCCTCACCCCCAATCTACGCGCTTGTCTTAACCCCCCCCCTCCCTACCCTCCTCCGAGCACCGCACCAAACGCAA